ACAATAGCTATGATTCACAGATCGTAATTAACATTGAAACATGTAGCCCGTGCCAGTCACTGTTGTGAGCGTCTCACATTTAATTCATTTCAATCATACACTAACCCTCAAGTGGTACTATTTATACCCCCCTGTTATACAGAGGGGCACAGGCAGAGAGAGGTTAGGTAACTATCGCAAGGTTACAGCTGCTAAGTGACGGAGCCCAGACCCAAACCCCTGTTTTCCGACTTTTAAGTTTCTCTCCTCAGTACCGACCCTCTTGTGGGCTCATAGCACTGCCCAGGGAGGTGAGGCATGGTCTCACAGGGGAGGAAGTTCTGGAGATGAAACGTGAGGAATGAGTAAAAATTTGTTATGAGAAGATTGGGTGCATTTCAGCGAGACAAGCAGACGTACGAGGGCAGAAGACACGGGGGATTTCGGCGGATTCCGGAAAGCACACAGTTTATAGAGCTGCAAGAAAGGGACACGTAAGGAAAGGGTGGTGCCCAAGTGGTAGAACTGCACCAGATCATTCCATGCAGAGGAGCTGAGATTTTAACCTATGAAGAACTTCGAGCGGAAATACGAAATGGCCAGATTTGAGCTTTAAGAAGATCATGGTTCTGGGGAGCCTGCGTGGCATAGTCGGTTAAGCGTCTGACTTTTGGTTCAGGTCGTGAGCTCACCGTTTGTGCGTTCAAGCCCTGTGTTGGGCTCTGTGCTGACAACTTGGAGCCTGGCGTCTGCTTCGGAGTCTGTGCCTCCCTCTCTCTCTGTCTCTCTCTCTGCCCCTTACCTACTTGTGCTCTCTCAAAAACAAGTAACAAACATGTAAAAAGATCATGGTTCCCCATGAACCATAGGGAACCATGGGGTTGCTGGGCCCTTGAGTCTTGGCGTAAACGATTCTCATTAGTTTGAAAGATCCCATATTGGATACATAGTTACTCGTTGAGTTGTGTGCTCAAAAGATGTCGTCTTAACCTCCAGTATCTGTGAATGTGACCTTACTTGGAAACAGGGTCTTTGCAGATACAACCAAGTTACGATGAGGTTATTAGGTTCCTAATCCAATATGGCTGGTGCCCTTAACAAGAACAGAAAACAGACACAGAGAAGGCCAGGTGACAACAGAGGCAGAGATCAGAGTGACCCAGGTGCATACCAAGGAACACCAAGGGTTGCCAGCCATCACCAGAAGCTAGGGAGGGGCAAGGAAAGGTTTTTCCCTTAGAGACTTCAGAGAGAGCATGGTTCAGCTGACACCTTGATCTTGGACTTCAAGCCTCCTGACTTGTGGGAGAATAAATTTCTGGTTCAAGTCGCCTAGTCTGTGTGGTACTTTGTTACGGCATCCCTAGGAAACAAAAATATTAACCTTACTTTCTCTAAATGTGTTCATCAGTAAGTAATATCTGGGAGATGCTGTGCTCTGTGCTAAAGTGCATAAGGGAATAAAAGTCATGGCACAGAAGAGTAAATTCTTTGCCAATCTCCCCTCTATGCTGTGGTGTTTTACCTTGTCTGGTTCCACTCCTGCAGTTTCAGTCCAATGAGAGCAGTAGCCATTTGAAAACTAGAATTTCCCTCTCTTATTTTACTTCACTCTAAATGCCAAGTCATGAATTTCAAAGGGAAAACATTTGCCATGAGTAAATTTCCTGCACTTGCCTTTGCAAACGGGAAGGAAACACTGTTTGCCCACTATTACACTCACACAACAGAAGGATTTATCTGTCTGCAGTTCGTTGCCTAGTTTCAAAGGTGGTTGCTTCATTATTCTAAACATTTTTTTGAGGTTTAGGGCCCACCATAAATTAGGTAGGTGTCTCAGTTAAAGCAAGGCTTGTTGGTTTAGATTTGGCAAAAGAGTTTTCTCGTGATGACAAGGGTGGTTTGAGAGCACATAGCTGATGAACTGGGTAGAAGACAAGGCTCTGGAGCAGTAATGAATCGGGAGCAGTATTACTGTTAGCAACTAATGCTAATTGGGAATTAGTATAATAATAATAATAATAACATATAATAAATTACCAACAACTTAGGCAAACCATCTGAAGGCACATGACTCTACTTAGCATCAGAGTTCATAATATATATGTCCATTGTATCTCAATAAAGCGGGAAACAATAACCGAGAAGACACCTGAAGTTGGAATTTAGCATTTTTGGATGGCTTGTCTGGGCCTGGAAGATGTTTGTTTTTTTCTAATTTTTTTTTTTATTATTTTTTTTCAACGTTTATTTATTTTTGGGACAGAGAGAGACAGAGCATGAACGGGGGAGGGGCAGAGAGAGAGGGAGACACAGAATCGGAAACAGGCTCCAGGCTCCGAGCCGTCAGCCCAGAGCCCGACGCGGGGCTCGAACTCACGGACCGCGAGATCGTGACCTGGCTGAAGTCGGACGCTTAACCGACTGCACCACCCAGGCGCCCCTAATTTTTTAAAAATTTACTAGTGATATTTACAACATGCCTGTATTGAAAATCTGTGTGTCCAGATCGGAATAATGTCCTTCTTGAATTTCATAAACTTTGGAAGTGTTTATACTGGCGATGGAGGAAGAGAACTTTCTGAATGATACTGATACTGTTAAACATCAACCAGTAGGTGGCGAAACCTGGCAATAAAAAGCTTTTTGTTTGGCAGACTGGTGAATAAAGAGGGAAAACACAGGCCTCTCAGACTCTTGATACAATCTCTATTCCCTGCATCTTGTTCTTTTCCCTTCCTGGTGCTACCCGACCAGAATCCAGCCAGGCGAAGCTGGCCGAAGGGTAGCCCATTGGTTCTTAAAAGTGGAAGACATCCTGCATACAGGTGAAAGGTTGTTGGAAGGTGTCAGGCACAGATCTAGGATTCAAACCCAGGACTCCTGACTCAGGCCAGGGCTCTCGCCAGTACCCAGAGACAAACAGTTAATCCACACACTTCCTACCATACTTGCCCTCACGCTTTAAGATGGAATCTAATAACCAAATCTGAATGCAGGAATGGTTTCGCTCTTTCTGTACAAAGAAAATTCAGGACAGTCCTGTGGAATATATAATCTTAGGCAAGGACTGTAATGCAGACCTGTCCTGAGAATGTCTGCTGATGGCCGAGATGCCACAGAAGGAGTAAGTCTGAGAGAAACCTGTAAAGTGAGGCTCTATGGGAGCAAAGGAGGGGAAAAAATAAGGAGACTTTTCTTCCTCTGGGAATGGGAGATCCATTTCCTTCTGGGGGGAGGGGGGCTCCTTTGCAGAAGTACAATCTCCTCTCCAGCTCTGTTGTCACATTTCCTCACTCACACGCTGGGTCTCAGAAGCACTAAGGCTTTCAATTCCTCTTAAGTAATTTTGGGGGGTTAAAGCAAGGTTCTGAGCTGATCCTTAAACTATAATGTTGTGGCATTGGTACAGGTTTCTACTATTTCCCTGAGAACATGGATCCCGGGTCAGTCTAGGCCCAGTGTCTATCTCCAGGCCAGAACCTGTCCCCCACCCCCACCCCACCCCATTGCCATGTCACAGCCATTAGGAAGGAGGAAGGAGGACCTTCCTTCATTCCTTGCCTGGATGAGTTTGTACAAGGCACCCATTCCTACATGCAAGAGCTTGGCACATTGGTTGACTGGGTATGATAAATGAAATGAAAGTAATTTGTGCTTATTTTGCTTAAGAATACGTGCTTTGATTTTAGACTAGGAATGAGACAAAATAAAGATGATGCCAGAACATGTTTGTACACATTGCAGTGCTCATTTGTCACGTTTCTATGAGCACTGTAATCCAGCGTCCCTATATACTTGGGTTTGAGCCCTGTTAGGTAAGCCGCTGTGCTTTCAGTAAACACTTTTTTTCTTGGCACTTTATTTGTCAAAGACTTTTAGAGACAGAAAATAGTTAAACATGCACAACTCGTTTGTCCTCTTGTGCCTTTTCTCCTAGGGGCTATTCATGCCGATGAATGAACGAGTGTGTGTGCTTGTGTGTACAATGTATCTGTATGTAGTGTGTGTGTGTGTGTGTGTGTGTGTGTGTGTGTGTGTGTGTGTAGATAACTCGAGGAGGTGCAGCCATCTAGGATTGGCTGCGGCGCGACCCCAGAAGCCTTGGGAAACCGACCCACGCTGGTGTTAGACCGTGGGCCCGAAAGTCACCCTGGAGACCTCTGCAGCGTCCAGCCCCAACCGTCGGGGGCACAGGAAAAACATTTGCTTAGCCATTTTAAAGCCCCTGATATCCTTGACTGGCCCCTCGCTGGCCCGCTGGGAGCCATGTCTGGCCTTGGTCACGGACGGGGTCTCCAGGGTGTGCGTCCTACCTGCACACCTAGGAAGCGGACTTGAAAGTAAACACTCCTCCTGGGGCTTCCCTTGCCTCTCTTCACGGCTGAGGGCCCATTGCTCGGGGGCAGCAGGGGCCTGGGTCTTCTCCCTGGCAGCTGCCAAGAGCTGGTACCACGATGTGAACGTACGTACACACACACACAGACCACCACACACACTCGGTTGAAAGGGTCAAAGCAGTTCCCGGCTCTTACACACACCACACACGCACACACTAGGTTAAAAGGGTTGAAACGATTCCCGGCGTTTACACACAGCACACGCGCGCGCGCGCGCGC